ATCATCTGCAGGCATCCCAGGTTAAAGAAAAAAACATGCTATGGAAAAAGTGAGGGAAGGAAAAAAAAAAGAGAAAGTGGGATAAAAAAGAAGTATCTCAGAGACTCATCCACTCCCTTTTCCCCAAGATACCAGCCAAACAAGCAGCTTCATAGCTTCTGAGAGAGAGTTAAGAGTTCAGAACTCTTTCACTAACCCCTGAAAGGTCTCTGGACCATGAATCACTTTTATCATAGTCCTAAAACTCAAGACATTTTTGTAATAAAGAAAATAAGTGCAACCAACTAAAAAAAAGTTAAAGAAACAGTTGCAATTCTAACATTACATGCCTTGTCAAATCCAGTGTTAAATAAGTACCCTATTTATAATTACCATTATTTTCAGACAGAGTGGTTAGGGAAAATCACATTTTGATAAATGGTCCTAAAAAGACCATATTTTCAGAATGCAAAAGTGATAAAGGCAATTATACAAAAGACACAAAGTAGCCAGGAATGGTGGTGCATGCCTATAATCTCACCACTCAGGAGGCTGAGTCAGGAAGACTATTTGAAATCTGAGGCTACCCTAAAAACTATGAAGGCCCTGTCTGAAAATAAAGCAAAAAAGACACAAGAATAACAAGTGCTTAATTTTAAAAAAATTTCTTCTTTGCAATGTCTATTTCTACATTTTATGTCAGTTTTCCCCCAGATACAAAAGAAACCCTCATAAAAGTTTAACTTCTTGACCCCTGCCCCAAACAGATACCTAACATTATAATGAAAATTATCCTGTGAGTATACAATAGCATATTTATCAAAAGACAGTCCTAGGGGCTGGGAAGATAGCTCAGCAGAATATAGAAAGAGCAGTAGAATAAGCACTTGCCTGGCAAGCACAAAGGCCTGAGTTCAATCCCCCGTTCCACCAAAAAAAAAAAAAAAAAGACAGTCTTCATTTTATAAGTATATTCAGCCAGCATATGCAAGCTTAAATATGGATAATCTACTGCATAATACAGAATTAAGAATAGTATTCTAATTCTCTGACTACAACTTAATTTTTGCGATTTTACTCCTCTCACTACGAAAGAATATTTATAAAATTCTGTGAGGATCTTAAAAAAGAACATATTAATTGGAAAAATAGTCAAGTATCTGCCTAAAACACCCGTGGAAAAAGTACTTACACAGCCTCACAAACATAATAATAGCTACTATTTACTGAATATTTTCTAGGCAATAATGATACACAATTTACACATATTATCTCATTTTATATTATGAAACAGAAATCATTATGAAATAGGTATCATCAATCCTACTTTTACATGTGCAAATAATGATTCATTGAGTTAAGTTACTTATTCTGCCTTCTACTACAGCAACCATCGAAGAACAGTAGCCAGGGCCCTCGGCCATCCCATGGCCATGGGTCTCAACAAGGGCCATAAGGTGACTAAGAATGTGAGCAAACTGAGGCACAGCCACCATCGCAGATGTCTCACCAAACACATCAAGTTCCTTCACTCCCTTCAAGCAGTGCACCATGGAGCTGCTCAAGGTCTCCAAGGACAAGTGTACCCTCAAGTTCATCAAGAAAAGGGTGGGGACTCACATTCATGCCAAGGGGAGCCAAGAGGAAGCATGAGGAGCTGAGCAACGTGCTGGCCGCCATGAGGAAGGCAGCTGCCAAGAAGGACTGAGCCCCTCTGGAATAAAGCTTTGCAGAAAATTCAAAAAAAGGTGGGGAGGGATGGGGATATAGCTCAGCGGCAAGTGCCAGCCTGGCAAGCACAAGGTCCTGTGTTTGATCCTTGTTACCACCCAAAAACACAAAAGTTACTCTGAGGTTTCACAGCTAATAACAATAGGAATTTAATTCAGCTCTGTGTGAAGACAAAAGCAGTACCTTTATCCATTACATTTGCACTTCTCAATTTTTGTCACATCCTGGAACACAATGAAAATGATAATATTTCTAAGGCTCACTGGAGTAAACCAGAGGGGACTTGGTAAAATGTTTTTCTTCATACTATGAAGCTATTCCATGAAAAATAAAAATACAATGCATCATTTAATTAGTATAAGCCTTCCAGATTTCTTTCTGAATTACCAAATGTAAGTTTACAAAGAATCTCATCAAAAATGTTCAAAATTATTCCAATTACTGTAAAACTCTAAAGTTAAAAAAAAAGATTCAAAATATAAACACTGTAAAAAAAAATTTTGGACACAACATACCTGTATGCAATCCTATTTACCAAACATAGGTTGGGGAGCTTTTCATAATTTAATTTAACTTGATAGAAAATTGTGATTCAGCCTATCAAGATTCTCTCAATAACATGTAAGGAAAATTCAAACTAAAGGTAATAAAGGAAGAATTACAACACTGGAGATTTCCTTAATTTATCTTATACTAGCCTCTTAATTTGAATTGCTATAGTATCTGTAATCTGAAACATTCACCTTGACTTAGTAAAAACTAACATTCATCAAAGTACTACTACATGCCTGGCTGTGTTCTACTTTACAATATTATTATATTTAACTCTCACAGCAATTCTATGAAGGATGTCTATTTTCTCCATTTTAATAATACAGAAATTAAGTGAATAATTTTCCCAAGGTTATGGCTAATAAATGAAATTTGGGATTTGAGGCAGTCTGACCTCAGAGCCCATGCTGTCTGTCTGTTTGTTTGGAGATAGGGTCTCACTATTAGTTCAGATGGCCTGGAACTCATGGGGATTCTCCTGCCTCAGCTCCCACATGTTCGGATCACTGGCATGTACCCCAAGCCCACATCAGGGCCCATGATATTAATCAGTGTGTGAAGCTACATTCCTGTAAGGAAAACAATATATTATGTGCCAAGAGAGATAAAAGCAGAGAAAGCTTAGCTTAAACTAAGTTGGATAGTTTTATAGGGCTGAAGCAGAATTTATATACATCAGAGGAGATTTTCTACACAAAAAATAAACTACTTTTATACTGCCAGATATATTTTGCTTATAGAAAAACCATAACAGATAATTCCTATTTCATACATTCATTATTCCATGGCTCAAGAAAGAGCAGCTATTTCTGTAACCTATTTAAATTTGCTAATTTAACTTGCTCAAGAATACTATATGTAAAAAGCTTTCTTAAAAAACAATAAAGTTGGTAAAAATAAACAAATGTGTTAGTGCTTTTAACTGTTTTTCAAGTTCTGTAAGGCACCATGTGCTTAAACTAAATACATACCTATAAAAACTATAAATTCTGAATAAAGACTTTTTCTAGACATTTGGACAAGTTCTGCTTGCTCTAACAAATCCTATCATTTGGAACAAAGCCTCATGGCACACAACTTTACTACAATAGGCTAAATGTAATGTGCTGAGGGTATCTTTGATGGTCAATGTAAAACAAATCACAGACATAATACATGCTTAATCTTAAAAGATGAAAATATACCTTTAATTTCATAACTAATACATACAGAAAATGTCGGGGCGGGGGAGATAGCTCAGTAGAATAAGCACTTGCCTGGCAAGCGCAAGTGCCTGAGTTCAATCTTTGGTTGTGGGGGGAGAAATCTGTCACCAGAACTTCTACAATTTTCGTTAACACAAAGAAACCCTAGCACATCCTGGAGTACAAAATTAAGTCTTGGGTTACAGTGGCATAGTGTATATGGTCCTCTGGAGCTTCAGACAATGAAAATCTGGCACTTCCATCAAAATGACTCCTTCTCAAAAACCAGTTGTTTTAAAAACTAAAATTTTATTGCTTACAGAAATCATGATTCCTACTCATAACTAACATCTCCTGAAAATACAAATAGTGAAGTGTGGCACGATTTTATCGGTAAACTAATGCCAGAGTGCTTTATACGATTTACTATGTTTCTCAAAAACTGTAAACTAAATCATGCCAAGTGACACGCATCTGACTGTACACAAAAGCCCCTCAAAGCAACTGTCAGGTAACATGCAGTAGTCCTCAAGCCAGTATCTTATTTTGAAGTGAGCAAAACTGGTCCTTACAAGTTTACATAAATGATCAGCTCCTTCAGTCTTCCAACAGATATGTGTAATTCCACAATTCATCCTAAAATAACTCCATTCTGACTGGAAATGATCCCTACCAGTTTCTGCCCACACACCTCAAAGAAGCCACCAGAATTTCCTCAGCACACTGTATCCAACCTCTTCCTTCCAAATACATAGCAATTATAAAATAGGGGCCCGGGAAGATAGCTCAGTACAATAAGCGCTTGCCTGGCAAGTACAAGGCCCTGAGTTCAATCCCCGGTACCGCAAAACAAAAATAAAAATAAGAATTATAAAATAGGAAGAGAATAAACATACAAAAGGTGAAAGAGTACAGTCAGTCTCTGCCCCCAAGGTCTTTTCTTCATACGTAAGAATCTACCATTTATCTCCACCACCTACTTTCATGTACCTGGATAATGCCTCCATCTTGCTAACAGTTCAAAACGTTCACGCTCTCTAACAAACGACAGGATCTTTCTGTCTGACCATTCCGTCCCCACTTCCCTTCATCATTCATCACCCCAGCCTTCCAGCTTTACCCGGCCCAGTATAATTACGCTCCAGCTCACAAACCACTGCACAAACGCATCGTGTACTCTCGCGTCGTCCTTTTAACCAGCCTTGCGACCAGCCCACGAAAGCCTCCCCGAGTACGGGACCACCTCGACGCAGTCGCTCAACGCCACCCCGCCGGAGGCGCACACCCGCCGGCCCGATTCTGGCGACCTCCACGCCCCACCCCCTCACGCCCTCCGCGGCCTCCGCCGCCCGCCCGGGCCGACCGCCCGCCCGCCCGCC